AAGATTTGATCATCACTACCTAAAAAGAGACCAAATACTATAGTTGAAAGAAATAGACTGGAAAAAATATGTAAAAATTCTAGTCTCTGGGTAGTAGGGACTATAGGTGGCTTCCCCTAAATATTATTTAATTGATATTTTAATGTGAAAGGGATATAATTAAGTTGAAATTTTTTCTTTTTAAGGAAAGGAAAATAAATTTGTTAACTATTAACAGTTTGCTGTGTGATCCCTCTCAGTCTTGTCTTGGTGTACATAAAAGCATACATATGACAAATTTATTCAGAGTTATGTGACCATATCACATAAATTGTTCAGCAACTTACTGCTTTAACATCTCATTTATATTTTTCCACAGGAATATATACAGTCTACCCTCATTCTTTATGATGACTGTGTAGTTAGTGTTCCATTATGTGCATGAAACAAATCTCCCTACCCCCAATCGATAGACTAGGTTTCTAAAAATGTTCTGCTTCATAAGTATATCTTTGTGGACTCTTTACAGTCTTTCTGTGGGGTAGATTTTCAGAAGTGGAATTTCTGAGTCAAAGAACATGTGCAATTTTGCCAAATTACTCTCAATAAGTTTGAGAGTATAGAAGAGCCAAGAATATACAAGTCTGCCTTAGTCTTCCTTTATTAAAATTGAATATCATCAGGCCAGGCGTGGTGGCTCACGCCTGTAATCCTAGCACTCTGGGAGGCCGAGGTGGGCAGATTGCTCCAGGTCAGGAGTTCGAAACCAGCCTGATCAAGAGCGAGACCCCGTCTCTACTATAAATAGAAAGAAATTAATTGGTCAACTAATATAACTAGAAAAAATTAGCCGGGCATGGTGGTGCATGCCTGTGGTCCCAGCTATTCAGGAGGCTGAGGCAGCAGGATTGCTTGAGCCCAGGAGTTTGAGGTTGCTGTGAGCTAGGCTGACGCCATGGCACTGTAGCCTGGGCAACAAAGCGAGACTCTGTCTCAAAAAATGGTTATTGTCTGATTAAGGTGTATTTCTATAGGGGTCTCTGACAGCTAAGGCCCCTTCCCCTGAGTTGGTAGGTTCTAAAAAGAAGTTACAAAAGCCTCCAAGGTAGGAGCCATTCGAAGCATCCCAGGGGGTGTGATAATCCAGTCCAGCCACTGCAACGTGAACTGGCACAACCCTCAGACCCAACATGGGAACTAAGGGGAAAAAGTCCCGGCAGGGATCCTGGGTCATTTAATCTGTTCAAAGATGATGTATTCATTTCTCTAAAGAAGTTGGCAACTTCTTTAGAGAAATGAATGAGATGAGCCTTTCAACCAAGGAGCTAGAAGGCTACCTGGTGGCAGGGCTGGCAGGGGACGAGGAGAAAACAAGGCCTGAGAGGACACCAGGGTTTGGGAGTGAAGGCACTGAGTGAGTCCCCCTTTGGAAAACATGACCTGACAGCTGTTAGATCTTACACAAGTTCCTGAACCTTCTGGGCCCTGCTTTCCTCATCTGTAAATGAGATAATATCAATCTCAAACACATCTTAGAAATTAAGACAATGAAAGAAGTGCCTACTACACTATCAGGGGCATTTTTACTACTCAAAAAGCCTTAAGTGGGTAATAGAAAAATAAAAATACTTATCACTTAGCAGGTGTCAAAAATGCACCAAGTGCTTGCTTTGTTTACTTGTCATACCTCCCATTTTTGAGAGGTGAATTAGGCTCACAGAGGTAAGGGCGTGCCCAGTCCCCATCAAAGGCAGAGCTGGGGTCTGGGTGCTCTGTGCTGCCTCCCACTGTCCTGCCTCTTTCAGCACCAGTGTCCAGTTAGATGACTGCACAACTCAGCACGCTAGCATGGGCTTGGCACTCCTACTCTTTGCTTTTAAGTCTAACAAAAAATCTAAATATGCCAGTCCATCTCATGTATGTTAAGGAAAATTAAAGAAAAGGGGATTTTTAACTATATGGAGGATGTTTTAGGGGGAGGGGCTTCCCATATATACTTGTGGAGCTGGAGGATGGTTAATAGCAGCGAATCAGACTGAGGTAGGATTTTTCTTCCCAAGCTAGAGGCTTTCCTTCAACGTTCTTACTCTAGGATATCTTCAGATGGGGAAAGGGAATTTCACCTTCTATTTTAGTTAAGAAGGGTCATACCTCTACAGACCTGTTTCCACTGCCACTATAATATTAACACATTCCGCAATTGAATCCTGAAAAATCAAAGGTATTTCAGAACTGTTTCTAGGATTTGATAGAGCTGATCTAAAAGTACATACACCAGGCTGTTCTGAAGGTAGTGACTTATCTCAATTGATTGTTCATAGTCAGTTACAGACTGAACTCTTTGTTCTACTCTTCCTTCCCTTCTCACTGCTGCAAGACTTGACCAGTCTTTTTTCTTTTTTTAAAGTATGTACACTGTATATTAGGCAGCCCAGGAGGGCCCGGGCAGTCCTAATAACCAATAACACAAGTGTTCCTGCGGTGAAATGTGTGACTGTTGACATCAGTAGGATAAAAACAAATCATAGATTGTCTCACTTTAGTTCAGGTTAGGTCTTTGTTACCAAATGAGTTTTGGTGGCAGACTGATGAAAAATGTTTGGTTCTGAGTGTTTCTGAGTTGCAGAACTGTGGATAAGGGAGTATGACCTGTTGATAACAACAGAAGCAACAATCACCAGCATCTACCAAGTGCTTGCTGTGTGCCAGTGCTCTAATTATGTACTATGTCAACTGATTTTCAAAGCATATATGTCATAGAATGGGTACTTTGAACATAGTGCAATCACTGTATAATTCTATGATGGATAACATTAAGACAGTGCAGTTGTATTTTTTTTTTTTTTTTTTTTGAGACAGAGTCTTGCTTTGTTGCCCAGGCTAGAGTGAGTGCTGTGGCGTCAGCCCAGCTCACAGCAAACTCAATCTCCTGGGCTTAAGCAATCCTCCTGCCTCAGCCTCCGGAGTAGCTGGGACCACAGGCATGCGCCACTATTCCCGGCTAATTTTTTCTATATATATTAGTTGGCCAATTAATTTCTTTCTATTTATAGTAGAGACAGGGTCTTGCTCTTGCTCAGGCTGGTTTACGAACTCCTGACCTGGAGCAATCTGCCCGCCTCAGCCTCTCAGAGTGCTAGGATTACAGGTGTGAGCCACCGCGCCCGGCCAAGACAGTGCAGTTGTTAAGAGCGTTAACTCTGACTAGGCTACCTGGGTTACAGTCTCTGCTCTACCAGTGAATAGCTAGCTGTGCGACTTTGGCAAATGACTCAACTTCTCTGTGCCCTGTTTCCTCACCTGGAAAATGGAGGATAGTATCTGTCTTTACCTTATACATTGTTGTGAGAATTAAATCAGTTACTTTTTAAGAAGTGCTTGGCATATAGCAAGGGCTGTTATTATTTGTTTAATTTTGCACATGGGCAAACTGAGCCTCAGAGAAGTTTAGTAACTTGCCCAAGAATAGGATTCGAACCCAGGCAATCTTACTCCAAAGCCTACGTTCTGTGTTACTTTTTGCCCAATAGGCAAACAATCAGACAAGAAACAAAGTGACTACTTATCTAGAAAGATGTGAAATTTGAAGACCAGTTGCTGTTTTGGGAATGTTGGCTTCTTCAGACAATAGCAGCTCAGTAATGCAAAGGCAGAAATGATAGCCAAATGCCAACCTGGTTAACTCATTCCCCTAGGTTCCACTGACCAAATAACTAGCTTATTTCTCCACTACAGGTTGGCTTTCATTCCAGATCTGATCAGCCACCCATGACCTTGTTCCACACCAAGCAGACTCACCATCTGGGCCCTGGCGGGCAGCAGCATGCAGAGCTGTGTCCCCATGGCGGTCCTGGTGGGCAGGGTCAGCCCCGAGCCGAAGCAGCAGGCACAGGGCAGGGGCATCGTGGCGGGCACAGGCCCTGTGCAGTGGTGGGGGCTGCCCAGCATCTACATCAAGGCCTGGGTGTCGCTGGAGGAGGGCCTGGGCCCGGACAAGCCGTCCTGAAGACAAGTACCGGCGGAAGCGACGCTCTCGGCGTTGGCGGCGGGAAGTGGATGCCATGGAACTCTTAGGCTGAGGAAGGAGAAAAAGGCAGAAGCAGTCAGGACCCTGGCCTGGGCTTGTGCTTCCCATCTATCTCTGACATTCCCACTTGTTCCTCCCTTTGAGTCCTCATTTCTTCTTGCATCTTCAGTAAGAGATGAGGCCTATCTTAATCCTGATCCCTATCAGGTGACAGGTTTGAAAAAATTTAAGGGAGAGGCTGGGGTCACCAATTTAATTTTTTAATGTAAAATTTGAGAAAAGAATAAATAATTGCTTTAAGGCTCATGGAAAAAAAAAAAAAAAACAGGGCCTGATGGGGAAATTTTTTAACGGCAGAAATTTGAGTTTAAAAAAGTCACAGATAGGCCTGGCGCGGTGGCTCACGCCTGTAATCCTAGCACTTTGGAGGCAGAGGCAGGGGGATTGCTCAGGAGTTTGAGACCAGCCTGAGCAAGAGCAAGACCTGTCTCTACTATAAATAGAAAGAAATTAGCCAAACAACTAAAAATAGAAAAAATTAGCCGGGCATGGTGGCGCATGCCTATAGTCCCAGCTACTCGGGAGGCTGAGGCAGCAGGATGGCTTGAGCCCAGGAGTTTGAGGTTGCTGTGAGCTAGGCTGACGCCACAGCACTCTAGCCCAGGTGATAGAGTCAGACTCTGTCTCAAAAAAAAAAGTCACAGATAATTTCAAATAATGATCTAGAAATTGAATATAAGGTACCCGGCAAACAGACATAGAGGCTTTTCCCTCTGGGACCTGGAGGCAGGGGTCATTCGTCAGACCTGGCCCTGCTCCCCAAGTACGCCCAGAGCTGTAGGCCGGAGGCCTGTGTTCAAGACGCCCGGAGAGGGGAGGCGGGAAGGGCGGAGACAGCCCAGGCTGGCGGAAATGGCGCAAGCAGAGACGCGTGTGAAGGGCGGAAATGAACTGCGAGTAGAGTTACCGGATGTCGTTCCGCCCCGACAGGGTGGGATCTCGGTCAGGCCTCGGTGGGGCGGGGGAGAAACTAGGGAACTCAAGATAAAGGGTCCGCCTGTAACCGGAAGAGTGGATGAGAGGCGAGGAGAAGGATGCGAGGGAGGGCAGGGAGAAAGGAGGGCTTTCTGGAAGTTTATCCTCGCCTCCCCAGCTAGGCGGAGAGAGGACTTGGTTCAGTAGACAAAAAGATGAGAGGAGAAAGAGAGAAAATAGGGAAGATAAAGACAGGATAAAATTAGTGAAAATGGAAAACAAAAACAAAAATCACAGTAAGGCAGGGACAGATTAAAAAAGGGGTGGGGGGAGACATGAAAAGACATAAGGAGATTATCATAGGACAGGACAAATAAGATGGATGCAAACATTTCGACTTGAGAAACGTAGAAAAAGTTGGAGATGGAAAATAGAGAAGAGGGAGATAGATAGATGACAGATAGATAGATATGGGAGAATTAAGGAGAAGCCCAGAATGCTCTTTTTCCAACACACGTAGTATGATGATATCTTTACCTTTTCACCCCATTCTCATCCCCTATGTGTCCTTCTCTGAGACCACCAATCAAGCTCTCACTCCAATGTTTCTCCCCTCTCCGCCCCTGCCCCAGTCCTAGACCCTCAGGACTGGAAAGGCCTTGCACCTGTTATTAGCGGGTAGCTTTGGGCCTGGTCTCTGCTGCACTCGCGCGGCCCTTATGGGTACTGCCTGAGTGACAGGTGTGAGAGGAGGACCAGTCTTCACTGGGAGGATCGGATTGGGGGAGACACCGGTACAGAAGGCTGAGTGGAAGAGGGGAGAGCACTAAGACCCAGGAGTAGTGGAGGATTGCAGCAACGAGCTGGAGGAAAAGTAGGCAGTGGAGGCAGGGGGAGGGTGCGAGACATTTGGTACTTTGGTAGCATTTGAAACAGCATCGGCCATAACGACAGAAATGGCCAGTCAGTCCCAGGGTATCCAGCAGCTTCTGCAAGCTGAGAAGCGGGCGGCTGAGAAGGTGGCAGATGCCAGGAAGAGTGAGTCTACTCTTTCCTCCCTTAGGAGTGTGGAAAGAAAATTGGGGGTGGGGAGCAGCAAACATTTGAGTCCTTCAGAAAACCCAAGGCTGGTGGGGAGAGAACTGGGGCAGGAGGCTGGTTAGGATGGAAAAAATAGGTGGGTATTAGAATCTAGCACCTAGTTGGCTGTGAGAAGGCCAAATAACTTTCTGGAAGGGACTGATCCCTACTATTCCATTTTGGAGGGGCACCCCCACCCACTGTCCTCTCTTCTGCCACCAGGGAAGGCCCGGCGACTGAAGCAGGCAAAGGAGGAGGCACAGATGGAGGTAGAGCAATACCGCAGAGAGCGAGAGCAGGAATTCCAGAGCAAGCAGCAGGCGGTGAGTGGGGGAGGGGAGTTTGGGATGGAACCCTGGGTGTAAGTTGATGGGTGCATCTAGTGAGGGATGTACCCATGACTCAACAAGAAAATAAGGTGATAGAGGGCTGAGGGACCCTGGCAGGGACCACAACATTGGAAAAACTTTGTGATGATATATAAGAGAGGCTGGGAGTTTTGAAGGACATGTAGAGCTTGTGGGAGGATTTGCCACAGTCTATGTAAAACATGACAATATCTTTTTGATGTATAATATTTGGGGTGGAGGCCAGACTTTTACAGTCATGGGTGGTGAAATGGGGGGGTGGTTTGCAGTCTGTTTTAGGATGAAGTTGCATGTCAGGTTTAAGAGGAAAGGGTGTTGTACTGATCTCTTTGGTGCCTGGATATTTCTGTGGGGTGGGATGGGAGTGGTTTGAGAGGGCCTTTCTTCTTGGCCTTGCTCCAGAATCTTTCCCTCCACATGCCTGGACTTTTGTCTCTCTGTTTCTGCTTTTTCCTTTCTCTCTTCCATCCTTTTCTCCACCCCCCCAGGCCATGGGCTCCCAGGGGAACCTGTCGGCTGAGGTGGAGCAGGCTACGAGGCGCCAGGTGCAGGGCATGCAGAGCTCCCAGCAGAGAAACCGAGAGCATGTCCTGGCCCAGCTTCTTGGCATGGTCTGCGACGTCAGGCCCCAGGTCCACCCCAACTACCGGATTGCTGCCTAGGACCCACCACAGGGCCTAACTCCTTCTGCCAGTTCCCTCCCTCAAAGAAACCCCCTAATCAAAATCACCTTCCACCATAGTTTTCTCCTTTCCATTCCCTGGAAATCCTAGGAGGCAGGATCCAATAATTCTTCTGTGAATGTCCTGTCTCCTTATAAATGTCCTGCTAAAACCTGAATCTCCTTGTTCTTTAACCCTCACCTCCACTTGTAAACTCCCAAGTCGTTCTCATGCAACCCATCTGTGCAAATTGTATTACTGGAAGTAGTGATGTGGAAAACACCCTGACTTCAGAGCCTGGCAGACTGTGTCCCTCTGCTGACCTGACTTGCCTCAATGTCCTCTTCTATGAAACTGGGATAATAATGCCAGCATTTCTGCAAAGATTAGGAGTCATTACGTAGAGAGCCTGGCGTGGTTCCTGGCATGCAGTAGCTATGATTCAATAAAGGGCAACCGTGTGATATTATTACCACCCCCATTCACCAGCCAAAACCTATACAACTGTTTCCTCAATTTCATCAATGGCTCTCTAATTCCACTCATTCATTCTGTGACCCTAGTAATTCTCTGAAGAATTGGTTCTTCCCTCATCTCTTTTCCCAGACATCTTATAATCTCCAAAAAGATGAAATCATCACTTCACTTAGCCCTCTATTATGGTTCCAGGTAAATACTGCATCTTGTGGCCTTTTTGTTTCTCTTATGCTAGTCTTGCTCTTTGTTGGATTTCCCCCTCTCCTATTTCCCCAAAGACCCATCAGATGCTCACTGCTTCCTAAGATCTAAGGTGATGCTGTGTCCCCTCATATGCACGACCTTCCCTTGTACATCCTTGACACCTTACTTTTGCTTTGTAACAATAAAAAAGTATCAATAAAATAATTATGAGCAAATTGGTGGGTTGAAACAGCTTCCTTTTGCCTCATTTCTCATTTTCAGTCACTCTCTTGTTCCTTGCTTATATATTCCCCAAACACCCCAAATGGCTGTCCTTTGAAACTTGTTAGAGAAACAAGAGCAAGTAGTATTTTATTTTTCTGAAGTGAGAAACACGTGGTTCCTCATTTGGGAACCTGAGGACTATAGATAGCAACTGTAAAGTTCCTGGAGTGTAGGAACAAGTACTCTTTGCCCCTTCACCTTGCTTTGTTTTTCTTCATAGCACTTATTGCTACTTGACATTATATTTGCATTTATGTGTTGTCTCCCTGTTATGTAAACTCTGTAAGAATTGGGCTGTTCACTGCTCTTTCCCCAGATCCTAGGATAGCACTTGGCACAGGATAGGCAGTTGACAAATACTGTTAAATACTTAGGGTTGGGAAAACAGCCCGTCTATGAATCCATCCTTGGATCAGTTATTTCTCCTTCCCGCTGAAGACAAGCTTGCTTCATCAAGGACATGAACCAATGAGGTAAATCATAGTGTATTTATTAACCACATTCTTTATTTTTTTATTTTAGAGAGAGGGTCTCCAACTCCTGGGATCAAGTGATCCTCCAATCCCAACCTACAGTGTAGCTGGGGCCATAGGCACACACCACCACACCCTGCTAATTTTTTAAAAAATTTTTTGTAGAGAAAGTGTCTCACTATGTTGCTTAGGCTATTCTGGAACTCCTGGCCTCAAGCAGTCCAAACCCCTCTGCCTCTCAAAGTGCTGGGATTACAGGATTACTGGCCTGAGCCACCATATATCGCCATTAATCAGATTCTTTAAGAGGGAGGCAGGATAGAATGGAGAATTTGAGGTGTTTACATTTTGGCTGTAAATACCTCACCAGATGTATTACTTTGGATGTGTTGATTTGTTTCTCTGTTTGTCTGCAATGGGAATAATGGTAGCTTCTCCTTAGTATTAAGCCGTTAAGTGTGCTAACAGGGAAAGGGCCAAAAGTTTGTTGTTTCTATTAAGCAGCAGGACATCACGTCTGACTTCTGTAAGCATCTCAAAGAGTGGGATGTCAAATGTTTCATTCAGGAAAAAATCCAGGCTGGAACAATGAATGGGGCTGTTGGGCCCGGGCTAAGAACGTTCTGCTCGAATTAACAGTATTTATGGAATATTGTATAACCTTCAAGCCCTACTATTTATTTATAACACTTGGGGCAGAATCCAGACCCCGTCTTCCACTCGGGGGATTCAGAACACCTTCCTGACTCACAGCTGCTAACTGGCCCAAGGGCATCAGCTACACCGGCCAACATCATTTTGGGTAAATGCCGTCTATGGTCCCCAGGGCACGGGGCAGGACCAGTTCCCTGAGACTCGCCTCCTCCGTCCTCTCTGCTGGGGCTCGCCGTTTCCTAGCGCGAGCCTGGCCGCCGGCAGGTCACCTTGACTACGGGCCAAGGACCCCGTGGGAACTCGCAGTCCTCTGTACCCTCGTGGCTCGCGCGTCCTTGGAAGGGTGCCCAGACAGAACACCTGCGTGGCAAAAACCTAAACGAAGAAGTGACAGGAGTGGAGAAGAGGAGAACGAGAGAATAAAGATAACAGTGGGAAAACATATTGGTTTCCTTTATGCCTTTTGTTACTGGCTCTAGCAAAGATGTTAGAAGTGATTTAAAAAAAATTTCAGACAGGCATTTTCCAAAGGCAAGCTCGGAACCTGCAGATCTGTAAAACCGCAGAAGGTCCTTTTTCCTGTCCCTTGCGCCTGCGCTCTGGCAGCCGAGAAGGCGGGAGGCCGGGGTAGAGGGAAGCTGGGAACCGGAAGTGAAGGCAGATTCCCTCTTTCGTCGCTGTTGCTGCCGCCATACGCTCTCGCCCTGCTTAGGTAAGCTTCGGCCTTCGCTACTATCCATCTCCATCTGCACTTCTTCGCATCCATCCTTTTACGTGGGCTCCTAATATCCCTTTCACAGGCGACGACGGTCGCTGGGGCCTAGTTTGGTCGTTATTTCCATAGCTTGCACCCCTTTCGAGACTAAAGAGCTCCTGGGGGGGAAGAAGGAAAGCTTTTGGGGGGGGCAAATCCAAGATGGTGTCCCCGGCGCCATTGTGTTCTCTTTGCTCCCGGCTCCTCCAGTGGGTCCCTCGCTTATCGAGTCCCCAGCGTCAACGAGAGGCGGCGCTAGGCGACCCCTGGTCTTGGGCATTTGTGGAGGGCGGGGCTCTCCTCACCTTCCTGCTCTTTTTGGCCCTCAGTGGGACTAGCAGGGGGAGGAGCCGGCTCTTGGGCCCAGTTTTAATTTTGTCACCCCGGCCTGCCAAGCTTATTTGGAGCGCTTTCCAAATGTTTAGGAGAGGTGCCATTGCGCGTTTCTCGGGGAGTCTCACCTGAGTAACGCAACCAATGTGAAACCAATTGGTAAAGGTTCTGTTAAAGCTGGGGCTGGAAATGTCTCTCAACTCTTTCTTACTCCTGGTAGGGTGGAGAGATTTTATTTTATTTTTTTTTTGCGACCATGCCATTCTTCTTACTCTGCTCTCCCTATCCTCATTAATTACAAATGGATTTTTTAAGCAAGGAAAGGAAGGTACTGAAGAGTGGGAGGCTGAAAGCTGTGGAAGTGGACGGCAGCCATATGATGTTTTTTGTTTGAGAAGTGAGCGCTTTGCGCAGTGATGACCTCGATCTATCACCCTTGACTGATGGCTGCTGAGTTTAGGGATCCACATTGTGGGATTACAGGAAAGCTAAAGTCTTTGAGGATTTTGCAGGACTCTGTTCATCTTTTCATCTGTATTTTCTTTTCCCCCAGGTCATTAGTCGTATTCTACTTCTCATTATCTATTCTGTTTCTTCACTATCGTTATGTATTTTCAGGAATTTATAATTTGGTCTTTTCCATTTTCCTGGATTCTGTACTCTGATGCTAGTCTTTTTGAGAACCTGTGTCCTAAACACTTTCCCTGGGACCACTTTTTCTATTATGTTTGCTTTTCACATTTATATTTTTGTATCTCTTTGTTACTTTTTCCCCCAAGTAAAGGTTTCATAGTTTAGGGAAAGTGGGAACAGTGTGGGAATGGAAAAAAGGTCGTGAAGGCTTTGCTCATGACTGATAAGTCTTCGTTTGTTTTTTTATCCCTAGCTCTTCTTTCAGAAACTAGTATCTTTCTTTTGCTTTGCTGTTCCTCAAGCCACCCCCCACTACTCTTTCCCCCTTGTTTTCACCTGTACTGTGAGAACCCATCCAGAACCCCCTCCCCTTCTCCCCCTGCTGGCCCAGTTATGGCAGAAAACGATGTAGACAATGAGCTCTTGGATTACGAAGATGATGAGGTGGAGACAGCAGCTGGGGGTGATGGGGCTGAGGCCCCTGCCAAGAAGGATGTCAAGGGCTCCTACGTCTCCATCCACAGTTCTGGCTTTCGTGACTTTCTGCTCAAGCCAGAGTTGCTCCGGGCCATTGTTGACTGTGGCTTTGAGCATCCATCAGAAGGTAAATTTTCTATTGGGCATAGAATACTTATTAGGCTCTTTAAGAATACAAGAAAAAGATGTGTTCTTTCTCAGGTAGTAAAAATTTATATTTAGGATAGGCAGGAACTAAGATATCAAAACCAATTTTAGTGATAGAAGAGGCTTCAATAGGCTTCGTATTTTATTCATGATTGCATCAAAGTAATAATGATCCAAGATCAACTAATAGGTCTGCTGTTAGTTTTTATGACTGGCTTCTTTTCTACTTGCTTTTAATTTTGTCATTTGACTTCTAAATTTAAATTTTCAGAAAGGGCCTGGTTTGATCTTTAGTCCCCCCTCTGTTGGGCTAGGCCTATGATGGTCTTTGGAAGCCTTTATGACTGGTTAAAAATGACTGGCTTCTGGTTTAGGTACCACATTCTACATTTTGCCCAAGGTTGCAGGGTTATGTGACCCAAAGCAAGGCAACCTAAGTTGGAGAAATGGCCAGTGACAGGCACTCAGATGTCTCAAGTTACAGGTTAAAGAAAAGGACGGAGCCAGGAGTGCAGAAGGTGAGCTGTTGGTAGATGCAAGGGGATTGTTATCAGGAGGAGGCCTGGACCTTGAGGAGCATAAAGCTAGAAGGAGCTAGGAGAGTCTGATTTTTGGGGTGAATGTAATTGAGGGAGCAGAGACAAGGGGTCTGCAAGTTGCCAAGAACCAGGTAAATACTGTACTTTGAGAAATGGGTTTTGTATGGTGAAAAAAGTTGTAGAGTTATCTGGAGACTGTAGTCTTAATTTATCTTTTTTCCCTCTACTTGTAGTTCAGCATGAGTGCATCCCTCAGGCCATTCTGGGAATGGATGTCCTGTGCCAGGCCAAGTCAGGCATGGGAAAGACAGCAGTGTTTGTGCTGGCCACACTGCAACAGCTGGAGCCAGTTACTGGGCAGGTATACGTGGGGAGAATGCTGGGGAAAATTATGCATATATGGGAGATGTGTTTCTGTCCCAGCTACGTGCTTTCAGATCCATGAGCACTTCTCACTGAGATGACCTCTGTCACCCTTGACAGCCTGACAGCTGTGGGGAATGTTCCCTAGTAAGCATGGGGTTAATGATTTAGATCATAGTATTGGAGTCAGTTGTTAAATGCTAAGCATGCTTTGTGACAGTCACTTCCCTGGAGAGGATAATGAAGGGATAATAATAATAATAATGATGAAGGGAAAATACCTTATGTCTGTCTTTTCATCTACTTTCTGCCCAAGGTGTCTGTGCTGGTGATGTGTCACACTCGGGAGTTGGCTTTTCAGATAAGCAAGGAATATGAGCGCTTCTCTAAATACATGCCCAATGTCAAGGTAAGCCAAGGTAAAGAGGGAAGGTATGGCAAGTTGGAGGCATCAGAAACTTGTTGGTCAGCAGACTGCGTGGCTGACAGATGTTAAATACCCATAGCTCAGTGTGCGTGTAACTGACAAAAAGTTCTTGCAAGTTTTGGGTGTTCAAGAGATTTTACTAAAATGTAGGACTCATTTGGAAAT